CGCGATGCGCGTGAAGCGCTCTTATCTATACTCTGTAGGCGAGTACGGTGTCCGTGTGTCTGAATGTCCGTGTGTTCAACGTTTAAGCGCATAAACCTAACGGGATGCCTTGGCTACAACACTGCTTCATTTCACTTGATATTTGTATAGTAAGCATAGGCGAAAAAAGGAGGAGCCCAAAGGGCTCCCGACAGATAACAGAGCAGAATTGTCCTTGTCCAAGACACGTGTACACTCTTCCGGTAAGTCCCTGCACAGGGCCGGATTATATCCGCCGTCTATACCTGAGAGGCACAGCTTGTAGGGTGCTCGACTGGCAGCGCCGAGAGATAGGTTGGCCCGGGTAGGGCACAAGGTCTCTCCAAGCCCGAAGAAAGAATAAGCCCCGCCGAGTTCGGAGGAGGAGGGGGCGCCGTACAGCCCGGGCGCCGTGACACTTCTAGCCGAGTTACCACTGCGCTAGGTGACCTGTAAAAGTGCTCACGCGCCGTCGTCCATCCTTTGGTGGAGGACACAGGGGTTTTGTGGAGGTCAGTCGAGTAGAACTCGGCTATGTCTCAGGGAGTCTGACTTGGTTAGTCGAAACCCGGCGAGAGAGAGACCGCAAGGGAACCACACTCTGCACAGGCCATACAAGTGCCGATCTAACTCGGCGATTTGTTGTGATTTGTGTGTTCTGTTACGCCACATGTGTCACTCCGATGCTGGTCCTCACCAAACAACAGCTCCGCAAGCGCGCGAAAACCGCCAGTGCAGGCCATCCCCGACCTCTTGTTTGACGATAGCAAGAGTATCGGCGATACCGAGAGCATGTTGCTGTCGTTGGGGGCGATGCAGCTTCGTGACACGTGCTACCTCCGACAGCCAGGAATAGTGAAGATGGGGCCAAATTGCAACGACCACAAGAAGAGATTTGTTGCTCTCCTTATGGGCCTGAAGGAACCCTTCTATTTCGCTAAAATTTGTATAAATTACTATTTCCTGATTTCTAGAGTAGGAAAACTTGCCTGATATAATTTCTTAATATATATTTGCCACGTACTAGTCTTACGGCTTGTTCGTACCCCCAAGGACGTGGAAAGTGCATCGTTAAGAAGCGTACCAGTTGGTACGGTAACTGGACCGCTGCGACATTGATACGATAATTGGTATCATTTAACGCTATTTATCGGTGGCTCATGCGGTATTGCATGAACAGAAGCAGCCGCTACCACGAAGCGGTAAGCCTGAGAAGACTATTCCCAGGCTTTAGCTGCCCAAAACTTGTCAAGTGGTGGTGAGGCGACGTCTGTACTGGACGCACGCGAACCCAGTACATCCACAGCACATGGAGACTATTCAGCTGTCGCGAACAATCGCGATTCTAGCGCTGTAGAGGAAGGCGATGAGTTGGGGAATCGCTCAAAATGTGATAGTAAATGGCCTGTATTATACACGTTACGACATTATTATTGTAAAGGTTCTAACACGATTGACGACCGCGTTACTGCTGACGGTGGTGCTGAACCAAGTGCTACTGATCTCAATGCTGCTGCCCACGGTGGCGCCGCTCCGGACAGCATAGTCGAAGTGCAAGAGGACGAGTCCGAGTCTGCTGTCGCCGCTACAGGACCTAAAGAATAACAAGAACCCACGCCAGTGAATGATGGTCCTGGAATGAACGGAACGTAGCCAGAGCGACTAAATTGGAGAATATCTGTTTTAATGTTCTATGTGAAACCCCTCTCGTTTATAAGTTACGTCCATTGTTCTCGGTATCCGGAGAGATAAGGTGTGGCGAAAACTGGTCTCTCCACATCGGATATACTACTCAACTGTGGAGCTACCACACTCTCCGTTTCAAAATGCTGGGTTACGAAGAACCAGCTAAAGCGACGAAGTTTGAGAACAAGAATAATCTTGTCAAGCTGGGGGTGACCCATCGTTGAGAAAGAACTGGAAGTCCCACCCATGAAAATCGAGGTGTAAACTCATCGCTGTGTTGCTGTAATCTACGCGATGTTTGATGAATATGGTAGGATCCATGGAGTTCCATTCTTCGATGACATGCAGCCGCAGATCGAT